AGTTTAGTTTCCATGAAAAAGACTTTTTTTGCTCATTTAGATGCAGCTGACTGTGACCTTATGCCTGAATCATTTATCTGAAAATGTATAAAAAAAAAAAAAAAAAAATTCAAAGTTTGCTCATTTGTAGAGCTTAACATGGATTCCAATGTTCAAAGCCTTTGCACGGTTGGTGGACAACAAACAAAACCTGCAAACATTGATGCTGGGCTAAAAGCAAAAAAAAAAAAAAAAACTGTGTTAAATTAAAAAAATGCAGATTAGGGGGAACAAGGAAAATTGTGATTTTTTGTTGTCAATTCCCTAAATTAAGAATATAGATTTGTCTTATCGTCCAGTAATATTGGAATGTGAAATATACAAGTATAGTATATAAATCAAATAAGGGGATAATTCAGTCATTATTCGTTTAGAGTTTTTGTATTCAGTGATCTGGTTGGATTCAGACATTAAGCTTTTTAAAACAAGGACTCAATGACCATACAAATTTATAAGGAATAAAACAAGAAAAAAACATTATCCTTCCTTGGTTGAAAAATTAAAATAGAAAATGAATTAAATAGATTTTAAAGGGATTGTTTAGGGCAACAATAAGGGAACAATACTCTATTAAATTTTTTTTACCAGTTTAAAAAAACAGTTGTATTTAGTTTTTTTTAAATTATCTATTTTTGTGCTTGTATTATTCAAAGGTGGTTTAAACACATTCAAATATTATATTTGAAGGATTTAAATAAACCTCAGTAAACACAAATAACCAGTCCAAGCCAAAAGGTAATGGATCCAAACAAGGGTTTCCTTTAATGATCATTTGTCTTGTAAAGAATAAAATACAATAACAGTACTAGAATTAATAAGAACAAACACTGATAAATATGAATAAATACTGCTAAGCCACATTCACACAACGATTTGCAACCTCAGCTGTTCAGAATAGACACCTTCAGACTGAAGTGCTGACGGGGAACAGAGGAGACAGTGGAGTTTGTTTGTCTGGTAAATGCACAGCTTTGCTTTAGGCTTCCCTGCAGAGTGAATGTCGACCGAAGCGGCTCAATGCATCTACTGCAGCGGGTCACTACCGCAGCATCAGCGTGTGTGACTGTGTGCAGGAGGGGAGGGTTATTGGGGGGGCTTACACCAGCTGTGTGAATACGGCCCAGAGAGGCTAAGCAACAAATGAACCCACCCAGAGTATAAACGGAAGGATATATATATATATATATATATATATATATATATATATATATATATATATCTATATATATATATATATATATATGTAAACGGAGAAGAAAGAGGGAAACATCTGTCAATGGTTCCAGCAATGCGTTTGTCTCAGTCAGTCTCAGACAGTGGCAGGAACACGTTTCCATTCATCCATCCATCTCAGCAGAATGGAACCGCTTTCCTGACAATGATAAATTGTCTCAACTCAGCTTCAGTGGGTTAACGTTGTATGGATACCACTGGGGGAAAGTCTCTGTGTATATCCAGAGAAAGAAACATGAGCGAGAGAAAGTTAGGAATGAAAAAGAAAAACAAGAAAAACAATGCATTTAAATGGGGCACAGAGGAGAGCTGTGAAGTAAGACAGTCTGTTTTCCTGTCATTTAGAAAACACTCAGCAGTCAGTCAATGCGATCGCACCGTCAATGTCATTGACAGACTTAATAAGAGCGCAAGACAGACTGCCTAATCATGAAATCAATAGTCTGTCTGTGCACAACTGGAGAAGGACAGCAGCCTCTGCATGGCTATTATTGTGCCGTCATTACTGATGAGTGCCGTCTGTTTTTATTGGATGAGCCTACTTCAAGCTGCTTCTCGACAAACAGATACGGTGGAGTTATATCCCATCTCTTAATTTCCCTGCTGCATTATTGCTTGATTGATTGTAAAAGGACCTTGGACTTAAATCACTACGCATTTAGCCACATCTTAAAGAGATAAACCATGTAAGTCAAGCTGTTGCTCAAATGCTACCAGTTTTAGTCACAAAGATGCTTTGTGTTTATCCTGGACTTTTTATACTTCTCTTAAACTCAGAATGACCTAAGGGAGCAATTAATGAGTGGATGACCATTGCAATGAGCAGGAACAAGCCCAGTGGCTGGCCCGAGGCCTCGGTCTTGCCACTGCTGTAAGACAGCTGGTGGAAACATCTTAACTAATTTTTACCATTGCACTTTGAAATGATGAAGCTTTGCTGCTGTGTGTTTGTCTGCCCTCAAGCCTCTAGCCATAGAGCCCGTAGGAAAGTGGGAGCAAGGAGGATTAAAACCAGGATTTCAAAAAGAAAGGAAGAAAACACTGTTTGAAGTCAGACGAGGGGGTGATGTGTGTGTTTAAAATGCTTCAGCTGAGCTTTTTCTTTGTCTTCCTGTGAGAGAGGTTGATGGCTGCCTGGCTTTCAATGAGCAAATCACTGCGAGGATAAAACAAATAAAAACAAATAGAAAAACATTTTCAACCCACAAAAACAGGCCATCATTATTACAAACAAATCTTTCCTAATTTTAGTTCATTTAATGCCATCTGTTTGTCTCATGGAATATCCTTGGAACCTGCACACTGCAAAAAATTGAAATCTAAATAAGTCTTTTTTTTTTTAAATAAGTGTGTTTCCTCTTGAATTGAGGACGTAAGTGAGACACTTTCAAAGAAACAAAATAATTTACTTTTAAAATAAGAAAAAACACCTGCATTGTCTTATTTCAAGTGCATATTATCTAATCATCTTATTTTAATAGAAGGCAAAAAATCGCATTCTATTGACAAACCATCTTATTTACCTAATCTATTTAAGGGTAATTATTTCGAGAAATGCTGACTTATTTCCAGATCATTTTTGCAGTGCACAATTTTTTTACTCTTGTCACAGGGCTGAGCCTTTCCCCAGCTGTAATTACACTGTCTCTCAGCATCAGCTCTGTAGTGAGAGGGCTTTCTATCTGCCCTTTTATTCACCCACCCGTGGTCAATCTATTTTACAGGAACGACAGGGGGCGAAAAAAAAAGCAGCCTGACATCTGCAGAGCGACAGGGTTTGACGCCTGTGACAGCCACCCTGCATCCTCCTCTGACTGTCCATCAGCATTATCCTTCCCCTGTCACAGTTGCTCTGTGGTCGGCCTGATAATGCCGCTTGGTAATTAGGCATGCAATAGATTAATTAAACTGATACAAAAGGTGTAAGTTCACTGTTGTTGTTACAGCCAAGGTGAGAGCAGATAAACAAAGGCAAAGGTGTGATCCTCAAAATGGCTGACTTTGTTTATGACATGAAGAACGCAGAGATGCATCCAGAAATAATCTACTCATTGAAGCTGAACAAACCAGTGACTTATTGGAAACTTAAATCTCCAAATGTTTTAGTTTTTTTTATTAGGGGATGGGTCATTTCCAAAAGTAATTTCCAAAAGCAAAGACTTGCATGAGTTGTCTGCACAAAGCTGTTTTTTTTTTTTTTTCAATTGTTGTCGCCTGGCTTACACACACACTGCAGATACAGATACTACAGATACTACATACTACACATACTACTGTTATAGTAGTATGTGTACTGTTACTCTCGATGCACATTTTTCTAAATTATTTTTTTTTTTTTTGTGTGAGCAATTCTGCACAAAGTTCAGGCTGCAAGAAACCAAAAACAAAAAAGGTGGGACATTTTGCAAAATCACTCTAAGCTGAAAAGGCTTTATTATGTTCCACTCCTGTCTATCATGTAGCAGCCCACTGAGATGTGGTTTGTTTCAACATTAGTTACTTTTATAATGCTAGTTAAGCTACTTTAGCTTGTTGGTAATATAAACCAGAAATTAAAGTTTAAAATGTCAAAACTGATGATTTTTAAAAACGTTTTAAAATACAATAAAACTGTTAATTGTTAACATTCCGCAACAACAGGCAGATATAATTTCATTGCTCTTCATGTGTCTTCATCTATATTATACTGGGGTTCTAAGGGTGATAAGAATTAAAAACAGTATGTTGATATCATACCAGGACAGCTGTGATTAGTAGTTTAATATTAGCCAGCATTACTCTGAGCTTTTTATAATGTCAGTTAAAATCGAACAGGTTAAGGGGAAACTTATAAGGACAAACCAGCATTAAAAGTATTGTTAAGTCTTCTAATGCCAGAAATGCTGGCAGGTGTTGAAACAGATCATATAATTCTTTCTCTAATTTTTTATCGTGTCTATTGGACTTATTTGATAACCATAATGAGGATATGGAGTATGTTTTGTTTTTTTTTTAACTTGATTTTACTGTGTCCCTTAGTCTTTCCCTCTAATCTAATGAGACTAGTTTAGCTTTTGTTTACAGTCATGTTACAATCATGTGCTGAACTGAAGCTTTGACTAGATAGAGGACAAATGATGGGAATCAGTATCTATATAAATCATTAATATGCTCTTTAAATGCTTTGGCCCCTTACAAATAGATAAATGCAATCACAGAATTGGTAGAGCACTCCAGCCCATCCTCTCCAAACTGATCCTGATTCTGTATCAAAATAATACATGCAGTATCCAATGTGTGGATTTCCGCGGCATAGCTGCCGCAGTACAGTTAAACAATCCTCAGAAATCATCCAGCTAATTCAAATTTGTTGGATTTCTCTACAGGCTTGAGGTGGGGCCATTCAAGAAGCTGATTGTGATTTTGCTTATCCTGTAAAAAACAGAGTGTTTGGTTTCATCGTCCCGATAAGTTTAAACCATCCAACCTTTTACTTCAGGCAAAGTAAATTATTTTGGAGTTAGTTCTCATTTTGTTCAAAGCATCTGTGCTGTTGGAGCCCTTTAGCATGATGCTCCGCCACCATGCTCGACAGTTGGAGCTGTATTCTTTGCGCCTACCTCACCTCCACTCCACCAAACAGGGCTTTACAGCATTTGCTTCTGGGGAAAATGATAACAACCAAAATTTCCACCTTAACAACAAAATGTAGTGAAAAAGTTAAGACAAGGCGTTGGTCAGAAGACCAACGCCTTGTCTTTTGGGACTGAAAAAACATGCAGTAGTTAGAAACTACAGTATTTTTCAAACTTATTAAGACATAAGAATAAAACTCCTGCCATAATGAATGATGTATGTGAACCCCTACTTACCTCAGTGCTTCTGGAGAGAACTTTCTGTGTACTTTGATGCTTTTAAATCTCAAAGTCCAATAATCTGACTGAAGAGGTGACAACATTCTTATACTAAATAGCTCACAGTGGAAAACTCTGTCAAAAGCAGCTGCACTGCAAAGTCAGAGGAATCGATCATCTTTATTAATGTAGAGACCCAAAACAAGAGGAATTATGACAACAGAAAAAAATGCTGGACGTCTAAGCTGAGTTGAGACAATCAACATCCAGTTTCCAGATTAACCCTGGCAGTGACATGTGGGGGTGTTTGACACAGCTTCAGCTGTTTCAGGTGGTTCATGTCTTCTAAGTAGCTACTGATATGTGATGGTCCTGAACAGGAGATTGGAGGAATTATCCATTTTTCCTCTGGGGGTTCATCATCTGATCTAAAGCAACTGTCTCACACCAACAAGAAAATACGACGCTAACCATCAAATAATTGAATCACAACTGCTTCTAGTTCAAAAAGTTAAATCCGTGTCAGAGTGACGCAGCAGCGGCGGTGCCACAAGTCTGTATCAGTGTCTTCCAAAGGGCAAAAACAAAGAGCAGCAGATTCAGGAGATAAACAGAGCATTTGTAAAAAATAGACACAAGGCTCAAGTAAAAACCACTATGTCTCCATTGACTTTGATATGGCATTTTCAGTTATGTCATCCCTATTTACAGTTCATACTGAACCACCTCTCACCAAAGAAAGTCTGGGATCAAATCAAATATCGTTTGTTCTTCAAAAACAGGTCAACACAGGCCAAGGGCTGAGCTCCAAGGGAGAGTAAGAGTGTCATTTGAGAGGGTAGAGGAAAGACAGGAGAGCTGCAGCCCAAAATTGAAAGAAAGAAAAGGGATATCAATGGGTTTGTTAGTCCTGGCAACACCTGGCAGCCCTTTGGCAGCCTCAGAGGGGACTAATAAGCAGGTTGCCTAGGCGCCAGGAGATGGGGGGCTGAGGGCAGAACAGAGAGGGGGGGTACATAGGTTGAGAGTTGTGAAGTGGTATTGAGGGAAATGAGGACAGCAGGGAGACAGGCAAGCTGCAGTATGCAGCAGAGAAGAAAAGGAAAGTGGGCGGCAATCTTTTTGGTTCAGAAGTGGGCGTGGCTGTGGCCCTGTCTGAGCTGGCCTCCGTGGTGCCCCCCTTCTCTATGGCCGTGCCTCTTATGCTTCCTGCGCTCCCTCCTCACCTTGTGGTGATGGCGCCGGTAACGGTGGGCTCGCCGAGCTGGGGAAAGGAGAGAAAAAAATCCCAGAGTGAGATTGATTAAGGTAGACTTCATAAAAAAAAAAAAAGAAAGATAAAAGTCAAGAAGCTGATGTAAGAAAGGCAGGGATCTCTGGGGGAGCTTCACAGGCTTTCAGAGGGATTGCAGGGGGCAGGTGGAAGCAGGTAAAACACAAAGGAGAGGGGATCAAAGAACAGCAAGGTCAGGACGTCCCATTCTGTGTGTAGAGTTCCTAAAACTCTGAAGAGAGAGTTATGTTTAATCTTACACTGTGTGGAGCAGACACCTTTAGCAGGGGGCGCACCAAGCTAGCCACCCACACACATCCTATGTGAGACCTCATTCCGGGATAAACTGCCAAGTCATATCGGCCCAACATGTTGCCTGCAATGAACGATCACAAATTCATAACCCTGAGCACGACAAAAGAGCGACAGATTAGGAGTCTGAAGAAGCAACGTTATCTTTATCAGTTTGAACAGAAGCTACATCATTTCAGTATTTCATCATTACTGTCACTCTCTGTGCAGAGCGAAGAGGAACGCAAGCCCAAGCTTGTAGAATATTAAAATAAATCTCCTCTTTATATGTCCTCTGAAAGCATGAATGTCAAATCTGATTAAAATAAAATGAATCCGGTAAAAACTAAACAAGGTAAAAAGGTGATGAAAGAAGATATTGTTTATATATTACTACTAAAAGTAACGGGGTTTTTTTGTGTGTTAAAACCACAAACTTTGTTTTGTGTTAAGTGGATTATGTGTTATATACCCACAAAAATTTTTTTATTTTTTTTGTATCCAACAAATCTGAAACGTGTGCATGCCTTTGTAAATAGTGCATTCTCCATGATACAACCAAATAAAATCCAACCCCCGACCGGAAGACTTCAGCCCACCTGAACAACTGAAAAAAATCCAGATAGTCCCTGAAGGCCTCATTTTTTTTCTTTGATAGAGCTAGCAAAAAATATAAAAACTTTAATTCAAAACAGCAAAGCAGATAGATCAGGGATGAGGTTTTGGTGAAAAGCACAGTTTAGTTCTTAGTAGTCAGAGTGGGAGCTGTAGTTTTTTCAACTTCAAGCAGTGTGGCCTAGTCAAAGTCTAGACCTAAATAGTTCAGATAATATATCATTAGACTTAAAACTTGATGGTAACTGATAATCTACATCCAAACCGACTGAGTTCAAGTTATTTTACAAAGACAAGTTCAACATCACAGCCACAGTTCATGTAAAACTGGAAGAGACACCCAGAAGTCTAGCAAATGTTCAAAGACAAGGTTCTGCAAAGTATCCAATTAAAGTGGGATGGATATAAATCCATGAAAACCTGGAAGATTATGATTCATCAAACAGTGAAACAAACAAAAAAAGCAACATTATTACCCATATTTTAATAATTATGTTTCTTTGCTGTGGACTTTTGCATGAATTCCATTGAAATACGAAGAAGATTTTGATTAGAATAAAGCTAATTGTGAAAAGGCTTAAGGTCAATGAGTAATCTTCTAAAGCATTGCAGCTCTGTGAATAAAAAAAACTTTCAGAGTTGGTACCTGACTATTTTATTCAGGGGTTTGTGTTCCTGAGCATGTAAGATACAGAGTAAGAGAGGCTGAACATTTTCCCCTCTTTAGCCCACTTCTATTGCACTGAGTGTGAACCTGTCCTTAAATTTATTTCTAAAGGAAAGAAAAATAAGAAAAAAAAAACAACTTGAAGAATGAACCACTTCAAAGGATACCCAATCACTTCTAAGCAAGCCCAGGGGAATTCATTCAGGCTGCAGCCACGATAATCTTTTGCTTACAATTATTAATAATGAGAGCGGGGCTGGAGAGCCTAAATGCTCACAGTGACATCAGAGCCTCAGGGCTGTTAATGTAGGTCTGCTGCACAGGACCTGAAGGAGAATATGTGCTAAAAATAAAACAAATTAAAGTAGCCTACAGCTTTAAGTAATATCTGGGAAAAACTTACATCTTATGCAGATGATTTTGGGTCGGTCCCACTTGCCATTGGCACGACACTTGGCAGTGGGCACGTGGCGCTGCAGGAAGCCGTCGGCGCACTGGTAACGAACTATGGAGTGGACGTCATAGTGGGAACGCTTCCGACCAATTAGGAAGGCATTATCCACACTGGGAGGGGTTCCACAGAAAACTGGAGACACACAGGGGAATAACATATCAATAAAAAGGACAAACACAGAACAAGGGAATCAAGGATTAAAGAGGAAAGCTGGACAAGCATCAACATCCAGGCTAGATCTATAGGCTGGCCAACCAGAGCAATTTATGCCTTGGACACATCTATTAGTCTGGAAAGGAGCGGGATGAGGCAGAAATTAGTCAGGGGAAACATTTTAGGACTAATCAGATAACTATGTATGAGACACATTTTTTTTAAAAATTAAAGTAAAACAAAAGTCAGATGTTGAATTTTTCCCAATATAAACAGCTCTATTAGTAAATAATACAGGGCATCAGAAAAACACTGCTCCTTTGCCTTTTATGGTTACAGAAAAATTATGTGACATCATGGACCCGCCTCCCGCACAGTGATTGGTGGAGCCTGTTTTAGACCAAAGAGTATTGAGCCTCACTGGACTGATTTACGCTCCCTGAAAGGCTGGGCATACACTATATGATATTTTCCATCATTGTACTTCAACTCATGCTGTATGATGAAATCTTAGGGTTTAAAAGTTCCCAGCTCATGATGCATGTTATTACACTGTACAGCATGACGCTCTGATACCATCTACCTCCTCACACTGTACGTTCAAAAACCACACGTCGGTTTCAGCACAGAGAGATGGCGCTGGTCGGATTCATCAATCTGGAAGAAAAAGAAGGATTCCCTTGTTTGCACTTGCACAGCACGTAAGGTTCTGGTAAGTTGAATCATTGTGAGCAGGTAGATCACATCAGAGCATCGGGCCCTATAGTTTAAGAACATGCATCATGAGCTTTGAACTTTTAAACCCTGAGATTTTATCATACTGTTTGAGCTGTAGCTGACTAAAACGATTGAAAACATCGTACAGCGTGCCCGACCCAAGACCACCTCCTCTGTTGAGAGAGTTCCAGATTTACAAAGGCGACTTCCTTAACCCCTCACTCATTATTATTGTTCTCTTTAATATTAATTTCCCTGTCCAAGACTTTGTATTTTTTTAAATGGTTTTAATCTGTGTTTTGTCTTTGTTTCTGTTAGGGTTCCAGTTTGTTGGGGTTGTTCTATGTTCTTTTTCAGTGCCTCCATGCATCCACCAGATGGTGCCATTTTTCCTCTGTTGGCCTGGAGGGCCTCTTCCAGCTTTCAACTACTGACACCTGTAGCTCGTTGGTCATCACTGTCTGAGGAGTATATGAGCAGCAGACTGTCACCATCTCCTTGTCAGAGTGTTTGCCAGTATTGGGTACTCTAGCCCCTCTGAGTTTGCTGAGTCTAACTATGAGCTGCTTCTCTGAGACCCCCAGTCCTAATCTTGTTTCTTTTGTGAATCTCCGGCAGGATTTCAAAAGATCCACTGGATAAGCCTGGTCCTTCAAACCTTGGAAGGAACCCTCTCGTCACACTGAGAAAAGGAAACAATTCACCATCATAACGCCGTCCACGTCAGGAAAACAAGTGACGGTCTGCTCCGCTGCTCCTCAGGACCACCAAAGTCTGCCTGTCCACCCTCCAGCAAAGTAATCTCCATATCTGTGCAAGCCTCCACAAACAGGAACTCTCCACAACAGTTTTTATTCTGACGTCGGCAAGTTTTCCCACCGACCTTGAACTCACCACTTTGATCTCTTCCCAGAGCTTCCACTTCTGCTTTACCTGATCGCTGGAACCTCCCCAAGCTGGAAAACTGTTTTCAGTGTCTTTGTAACTTTTTTTTACTAATAAACTGTTAAACCTTTCTCAATCTCTGTGTGTGCTTCTGCATGTGGGCCAAACACATTAGACCCATCATGACAGTTTCTGCCATTGTGTTTTTATCTTTTGTACGGTGACCTTGAGTGCACCTTTAAAATAAAATGTATTATTTTTATTATTATTACTCAAACCATCTTTCTTAAGGGGTGGGCATCCCGCATGTCCCAGATGTGACTCTGTCCCAGGCTGTACACCTCATTATCATTTGGGTTTCTAACATAATTCCTTCAACTTTTTAAAGAAATTATAGCATTGGACATTGCTCTGATAAGCATAGAGGTACAAATCATTCCAAGGTAAATGCTCGATCCAAGATAGGTGAAAGTCAAGATAGCTGGCAAAAGGAAGAGGAAGATTTATGCTTCATTTTGCCAGTTGAGCTACCATAGGGACATCCTGATGGTCCAAGTTACGGTACTAGGAGAAATACGGTTGCACATGATTTTTTTGTGTGAAAGGAAATATAAGCCTTACCAAAATTATGATTTTGTTAAGGCCTATTTGGTCTTTATTTGGTGACAGTCATATTGTGTGTGACTCTTGCAAATACACGTACCTTAATATGTTTTGTGTTTTTTAAGGGAGAGATTCAGCCCTTCACTGAATTTGCGTAACTAAGTTTTTTTTTTTTTGTTAATTTCCAGAAGTCTGTACTTCCAGTTTAACCACAACTTTATCATCTCTGGGCCTGTTTGTTGCATAATGACAGCTGAAAGACTTAAGGGTTTCCAGATTCAGAAGAGCAGCCTGAAACTGCTTTCCTACCCTGGATATTGTTCTTACTGATGAGCCAGTAAAAGGTGAAAGGGTAGGAGCTAGGATCAGGAGGTATGGGCTATAATATGAGGTATTTGGATCCAGAAAGTTTCTAACACTTTTGTCTACATCTGGTTCTTTGAACCGATTTCACAGAATAAATCTAAAAGGTAACTTATGTGTTGCCCTTTTTGTAAAAATGTGACAGTAACAAAAAAAGAAAAATCTTTCTTTGTCTGTTTCAAAGATTCATGTCACCTAAAACATGCTAAATTTAAGAAAGCACAAACAAACACTTGGACTTAGACCAAAACTTAGAACACTACTGGAGGTAAAAAATCATAATCTGGATTTTATTTCTGCAGGACAGCAAAGTCAGAGGAAAGCTGAGAGTGAGTGGGTGCCTGTCATATTTTTGACATATGAGGAGCGAGGATGTTTACAGAAGCTTCAGGTGATAGACTCGTCAGAGAGTGACAGGATGAAAAAGCCACAGGGAGACACTCCTACAGTCTCCAGGAAGACTGGATGGCTGAGAGTTTCTGGATTCACAGCCATGATTCATCTTCAACCTTCTTTAAATAGTTATGTTGAATAAACTCTGTAATCCAAACACACATCACAGCTAGTTATTTTTTTATACCAATAGCTGAACTGGTATCTGTATTATTTCTACAGTACCTGTCCTGAATTGCAGTTCTTTTAAAACGGTTCTAAAGACCTATCAGTTTAGGTCAATTTTTGCTTCCTCCAGTGGACAAAACCTGTATTGTTTTGCCTGAAAGGAGACAACATTTCCATGAGAACCAGCTTGGTAAAATCCTGATCACTGGTTGCCAGCAGTTGGGTTGAACAACATTTCTGTTACCAGTGGCTCTGAAGGATAAATAGCGATGGGGTCATGAATCTACTGAATATCAACCCTCTGAAGTTGTTTTGTGTGGGAGGGTTACTGGAACCCTCCTCAAAGTCGCTTAGTGTCAGTGAAAGCAATAAAGACCGCCTCAGGCCATGACAGAGGGGTCATTCAACTAGTTGTAAGTAAATGGATTATGTTATGAAAATAATTTATGAGGTTTGAAAAGTTATTTCATTTTGGTTTAAAGGCACAGTTACGCTTGACCGATATAGGTATTTGAAATGAGTGATGCGGACACAACTTCTGCAGCTTATCTTTTAATAAAGATATTTATCTACAATTAAAGGTCCTGTTTAGGGCTGAAGCAATTAATCGGATTAATTGTGATTAATCAATTATTGAAATAATCGTCAACTAATTTAGTAATTGTTAAATGTTTAATCGGAGTATAGAGACTCTAAAACATGCCTTTAGCTGACAGAACGACCAACTTAGAAGAGGAATTATAGCAAAATTGTAGAACATATGTAAGCATTTTGTATTTAAGTTTAAAAAATATTTTATTTCATCAATATGCAATGGAAAATTTTCACCTTGTTTAATTTCATAAAACGTTTTCTTCAACGAATCCTTGGCTATCTAATCATAAAGGGGGAAGTGGCAGCCTTCGGTGGGAGGGGCAGCCTAATGGTTAGTGCATAGAGCTCTGAATCCTGAGGTTGTGAGTTCAAAACTCACTTCCACAGACTACCAATCTGGCTCTCTGAGCAAGACCCTTAAACCCCAATCGCCCAACGATGGCAGCCTACTGTTCCCCAAGGGGATGGGTTAAATGCAGAGATAATTTTTTCCAATTTGAGATCAATAAAATGAAATTATTATAAAAAAAATATATATATCAGCAGATTATTCAATTTGCTAAATAAGTGTCCATTGCAGCCCTATTGCTGTTATATAAAACAACCAATGGTACCATGAACTGTTAAGGGTTTCCTTTGAACGAGAAACTGATCGACAGCATTGCAGATCCTCCACCCTACTTAAAAGAGGACATACAGTGTTTTTCCACATATAGTATAACATTTTATGGCAAACTAAATGAAATAGTTGTTGCTGAAAGGTCAGCGATAGACTTACAGTATCTAAAGAGTCGTAGTAAATTTAAAGGACACATTTTTCTTGTATTATATAATTTGCCTTTCTATTACTCCTCATAAAGAGATTTTTAGTGCAGAGTTACTGTTCATTGTGTCAGATGAAGATGAAATCTTCTGTCAGTGGATAAATATATATATATATAATATATTAAAAGTTGTATTATAAATATTTAATGTGAGATTATGATACTGTTATAAAAGATTGATATATATCTTAAGGCGTTCGTCTCTCTCTCACTTTGAAATGGGACATGGTGCTAATAAATATAGCTTTCACTGTTAATAACGTCTAGAAGTCAAACCATTACAGATTTTTTCTGAAACTTTAATCATGCTTCACAGGGAAGGGAAAATATGCAATCAGAAAAATGTTTGCAAGCATGTCTAATCTAAATGATCCGGCGTCTTTTAAAAGGGAGAGCTATTCAGATATGAAACTGTAAATGTGCTGCTCAGGG